GATTACCATGGCAGGCAGTGATCTTCCATAAAATTAACAAAAATAGCAAGTGGCTGAGCTTCCTCAGCTCAGCGTTTCTTCGACTAAAAGGACGCCAAAGAATAAAAATGAATTCCATGACTGCGGGACGGGGATTTACTCCACGAAGGGAAGTGCCCAGAGGCAAGGAAGAAGGAGGGTGCGATGCTGCTGCTGACCAAAAGACATTGGTGCCGGTAATATTTTTCGTAACGACGTAGACGATTTTTAGTAATAATCCTGCCAAGAAGGTGTGAAAATGTGAGGAAGGAGGGAAGGAACGAGTTTAATCCTCAATGGCGCGGACTACTACTACTACATTGAGCTGCTCGGTCTTGCAGAAATCGCACAAAATCCAGCAAAATATCGCTAACTCCTCCCGTCTCCTCCGCCTGGGTACGTTGCGATGGTATGTTTTCGCGTGCGTGCGTCCGCGCCCTCTCGCGCGTTTGGTCTGAGGCGCACGCAAAGAGAACGAACCACGGCCGGTGCTGCTGCTGCTGTCGCTGCGTTTTTCCTCTAAGCGAGAGAGAGAGAGCGCGTGGCCGAGGGCGGCTGCGTCGCGCCGGTTGCTGTAGCCTCGTCGTCGAGTATGCACAAGCCTGTCTGCCTGCCCGCCCGCCCGCGGCAGAAGGCTGTAGTTGTCTTGTTAAGGCGTAGCCAATCGATAACAGCCGACAGGTCTTCGGTTTGCTTCTTCTCTATATGCGGCCAGGCGTCGTCGGTCTGCGAGAGAGGAACATGACGAATGCGGTGCGTAGGTATGCGCAGGTCCGCGTCATGCATGCACGCACGCTCGCGGCCGCCTGTCTGTCTGTCTGTCGATCACTTGTACCTGTGTCGGCCGCCTTCAGCAGCCAATGGGAACACGGGAACAGGCGTCTAGCCGAGCGGACGCTGCTGAGGCACGCACTGACTGGTTCGGCTGGTAGAGCGTGCAGCCGTAAGTGCGCGCGAACGTGCGCGCCACCTGCTAGGCGTGTGTCTATGCGTGTTGCTATAGTGGGTCGGTCTACGGTCTAAGGTAGGCTGGCGGCTGGCCGGCCTCTGTAGACGCCGGGGGGTTGACGTCACGCGCTGGTTGACCTGGCGCACTGAGACCGCAGCATTCCAATACGCGGGTGTGTGGACAACCGCCTTTGCTGCTGGGATGTATTTGCTATCCAGGGGTACTGTTCTCAAGATCCGGAGGGAGATAGATGGTCGACTAGGGCGTTTATGAACTTAACAGTAGGTCCCCAGTGACCTTTTTAGATCCGCTGTGTTGCAATCCTTGCATTCAGCCGTTTGGGGACCGCAGATCAACTGGCAAAGCGTTGGACATACTAACGCTCGATGCATAAAGAACGCAGGATCGAGGGTCGGCGGTTGCGTGCCTCAAGGTTGGGTATGGCTAGCCGACGACGACCAATGGAGTAAAAAATGGCCATTTAAGGCCCTCTCGTCTTTGCCGGCAGGCCTCGAGCCCAACCAGCAGCGCATGATATAGGCAGAATAGCATTGCCGACAAAGACAAGGGGGACTGGAATGGCCATTTCTGGCTCAATAGCCGTCGTCAGCCAGAGGCGTTGGGCTTCTAACTAACAGGTCGCAGGATCTAGCCCCAATTGTTCTACACCTCGGGCTTGGGTACGACTGGCCGACGACGGCTAATGAGCCAGAAACGGCCATTCCAGTGTACCTTGTCTTCTTCGGTGATTAGCGTACGTGCGTTCAGCATGGTTATAATACGGGGCAGGCGGAATGGCTAAACAAATCAAGGTCTGCAGGGAACGCCAGCGAACGACTGATGATGAAAACGACGGAGGTTTTGAAACGTCAGTATAAATACAACTTGGTTCATGAAGTCGCTTCCTCTTCGTCTTACTCGGGGGATGATGAACGCGTTACTATATCTGGACCTCGAATCTTCACGCATATTGCATTTATATATATATATATATATACGTATGTACTGGAAGATGGGCATCCCAAGAAACATAATTCGAAGAAGAATGAGTCCTTTGGGAAAATGAACAAACTTTATTTCGTAAATTTTCGAGTCTGGTTCCCCAGCTCGTCTTCAGACGTGTAGTAAGTGTGAAGAAACAGTCAAAATTTAAACAATGCCGAAAAAATCGATATTGCTCTGTCATGACTGAGGATAGGCTAATGCTGTGGGCTGATGTCACGTCGTGATTGGCTATTACATTTTCCATTTTTCTTTGAGACTTGTGTACATGGTATCAAGGTCGATGCGTCGATTGATGCATGAATCATCAGAGTGAATGGCCTCTAGGAATTCTCGGCCTTTCTTATATGGGCAGGAACCGACTCTCACGCGAGCCCATCGTCAAGGAATGAAAAACTGTACAACTCATCGTATATTTAGATCACCTCTGTCGGGGGTGACCTCCAGCTGCGTTGCTGATTTTCTCACGCAGTGCTTGATAGGCGATTGGCAGATCGATATGTCGATTAATCGAGTCCTCGGTTGACTGCCATTCTTCCTGCAGCAGGCGAGCAACTCGGTCGTCCGATTGGCCCAATATTCTCACGCACTTAAAGTCGAAACCGTGTCCTGGCGTGGAGGCGTGGGCGGCTACCAAGGAGAGTTTATCCTTCCGTCGCACAGCCAACTCGTGTTCGTGCAATCTCGTGCGTACCTGTTTGCCGGTTTCACCAACATAATTGACTTTATCACAACTGCAGTCGACATATCGATCTGCCAATCGCCTATCAAGCACTGCGTGAGCAAATCAGCAACGCAGCTAGAGGTCACCCCCGACAGAGGTGATCTAAATACACGATGAGTTGTACACTTTTTCATTCCTTGACGACGGGCTCGCGTGAAACGTCGGATAAATAAGCAATTGGTCCCGGCGATCTCCTTCCCATCTTCTTCTATTCAATTACCTGGGCCGCGCATGTTCTCTATCATACCCAGCTGCTGGTGGTCAGGGTAATGATTGGCTGAATGGAGGCACAATAAGCCCGAAACAGTACTGTATCAATCTACCCGCATTCTCTGTCGTCCCTCCTTGCTGCTATTATGACTTGGCCGAATTCGGCCTGGTAATTGGTTGCCTGTTCGTGACCTTTGCCACCCATACGGAACTTGTTTGCTTCGTGAAGCCAATAGATCGGTGAGCGCCCTTTCCTGATTGAATAAATACCCGATCTGCAGCGACAGAGAATGCCAGGTGGCGAGGCATTGATGAACTTCGGTTCGATGAAGTTCTTATGACCCATCTGGTAGGCCCCAGTGGTGGATCAACTGCGCCAGGTGCGTCTGTGCGCATGTTTGTGTTTCCGGTACCAGCTGCTGGTGGTCAGGGTTATGATTGGCTGAATGAAGGCAAACAAGCCCGAAACAGTGCTGTATCAATCTACCTCCAGACTCTGTCGTCTCCCCTCTGCTATCATAGCTTGACCGACTTCGGTCTGGTAGGTGGTTGCCTGTTCGTGACCCCTATCGCCCATACGAAGCTTGTTTGCTTCGGGAAGCCAATGGATCGGTGTGCGCCCATTCTTGAGTGAATATATATATATATATAGGCAGAATAGTATTACCGACAAAGACAAGGGAGACTGGAATGGCCATTTCTGGCTTATTAGCCGTCGTCAGCCAGCCATACCCAAGCCCGAAGTGTGGAACACCCGAGCCTCGAACTCGCGACCTGTTGGTTTAGAAGTCAACGCCTCTACTCACCGGGCCACGAGCCCGTTGCCTTATGATAGTGGGTGCTCACCGATCAGGTTACGGAACATGCTCGTTCCGTTGTGCCTTGGGGCTCATACTTAAACCCTCGCAGGCAGTCGCACAGCGACTAGTGATATATGTTGGAAAGGTAATACCGACAAAGACAAGGGAGACCGGAATGGCCATTTCTGGCTTATTAGCCGTCATCAGCCAGTCATACCCAACCCCAAGTGTGGATCACTTGAGATTCGAACCCGGGATCTTTGGTCATGGAGTTGAACGCTCTACCATTGAGCCACGGGCCCGTTGTCCTGTCGGTTGTGATCGGGAATATTAATTATGATAGTGGGCGCTCACCGATCAGGTTACGGAACATGCTCGTTCCGTTGTGCCTTGGGGCTCATACTTAAACCAACGGGCCCGTGGCTCAATGGTAGAGCGTTCAACTCCATGACCAAAGATCCCGGGTTCGAATCTCAAGTGATCCACACTTGGGGTTGGGTATGACTGGCTGATGACGGCTAATAAGCCAGAAATGGCCATTCCGGTCTCCCTTGTCTTTGTCGGTATCATCTTCTCAACATATATCACTAGTCGCTGTGCGACTGCCTGCGAGGGTTTAAGTATGAGCCCCAAGGCACAACGGAACGAGCATGTTCCGTAACCTGATCGGTGAGCGCCCACTATCATATATATATATATATATATATATATATTCCGAATGATAGAGAACACGCGCGGCCCAGGTTATTGAATAGAAGACGATGGGAAGGCGATCGCTGAGACCAATTGTTTATTTATCTGACGTTTCGAACTCTCACGCGAGCCCATCGTCAAGGAATGAAAAACTGTACAGCTCATCGTATATTTAGCTCAACTCTGTCGGGGGTGACCTCTAGCTGCGCTACTGATTTGCTCACACAGTGCTTGATAGGCGATTGGCAGATCGATATGTCGATTAATCGAGTCCTCGGTTGACTGCCATTCTTCCTGCAGCAGGCGAGCAACTTGGTCGTCCGATTGGCCCAATATTCTCACGCACTTAAAGTCGAAGCCGTGTCCTGGCATGGAGGCGTGGGCGGCTACCAAGGGGAGCTTATCCTTCCGTCTCACAGCCAACTCGTGTTCGTGCAATCTCGTGCGTACTTGTTTGCCGGTTTCGCCAACATAATTGGCTTGACCACAACTGCAGTCTATCCGGTAAATGACCTCCGATTTTTGATTGATGGGAATCGGGTCCTTAGGGTGCATGAGTTGCCGGCGTATTGTTGCCTCAGGTCTGTGAGCGACACCAATCCCAAATTCGCTCATCAGTCTAGCGGATTCTTCTGACACACCGGCTATGTACGGCACTGCGCGCCAACATTTCGGTTTTGGTTGTCCCTTCGGTTGTCTTCCCCGGGTTTCTCGCCTGCACTTTTCGACAAAATTCCCATGGTAGCCGTTCGCTGTGAAGAGTTTCCGCAGGAACTGGACCTCAGCCTTCTTGTCGGCTGGCTTGGTGCAATGGGTTTCTACTCGCCGGTAGAGTGTTCTCACGCAGCTGCGTTTGTGCGAGAGAGGGTGGTTGCTAAGAAAGCTTAGAATACGGGAGGTATTCGTTGCCTTCCGGTAAACCGTTGTCTTTAATGCACCATCACCTTTTCTCTGAACTAGTACGTCCAGAAACGGCAACTGGCAATCTTTTTCTTCCTCCATCGTGAACTGGATGTCTGGGAAGATCGAGTTGAGGTGTTGCGTGAATTCTCCAATCTTGTCCCGATTGATGATGACAAATGTGTCATCGGCATACCGTACCCACAGTCGTGGCCGATAGTGGTCGAAAGCCAGTGGCTCCAGTCGCTGTAACACTGCCTCAGCAATCAAGCTGGATAACGGTGACCCCATGGGTGTACCTTTAACTTGTTCGTACACAGCTCCGTTGAAGGTGAAGAAAGTCTTCAAGCAGTGCTTCAGGAGATCAATAAGGTGTTTTATCTTGAGTTTCTTGTCCGTTTCATCATATTGTTCTTCCAACAAGGTTTGCAGGGTTTCAACCGCGAGATGCTGTGGGATGGAAGTGAAAAGTGATATCACGTCGAAAGAAACCATCACTTCGTCATATGTGAGTCGTTCATACGGAACTCACTCGTTCCGTTGTGCCTTAAGGGCTCTCTCTCGAGCCCAATCAGCAGCCGGGTGTTCCACACTTCGGGCTTGGGTATGGCTGGCTGACGACGGCTAATAAGCCAGAAATGGCCATTCCAGTCTCCCTTGTCTTTGTCGGTAATACCATTCTGCCTATATATATACTCACTCAGGAATGGGCGCACACCGATCCATTGGCTTCCCGAAGCAAACAAGCTTCGTATGGGCGATAGGGGTCACGAACAGGCAACCACCTACCAGACCGAAGTCGGTCAAGCTATGATAGCAGAGGGGAGACGACAGAGTCTGGAGGTAGATTGATACAGCACTGTTTCGGGCTTGTTTGCCTTCATTCAGCCAATCATAACCCTGACCACCAGCAGCTGGTACCGGAAACACAAACATGCGCACAGACGCACCTGGCGCAGTTGATCCACCACTGGGGCCTACCAGATGGGTCATAAGCACTTCATCGAACCGAAGGTCATCAGTGCCTCGCCACCTGGCATTCTCTGTCGCTTCAGATCGGGTATTTATTCACTCAGGAATGGGCACACACCGATCCATTGACTTCCCGAAGCAAACAAGCTTCGCATGGGCGGTAGGGGTCACGAACAGGCAACCACCTGCCAGGCCGAATTCGGCCAAGCTATGATAGCAGAGGGGAGACGACAGAGTCTGGGGGGTAGATTGATACAGCCCCTATGAGGTCCGAGCCGTGTCCACTGCGAAATTCCAGTGCACTTAACGAGGACCAGGTAGTGTGTGACACGCGTAGATGGGCTGTTTAGTCTTGCTAGTCACTGCGTGCGGGCCGGCCTACGGTCATCCTGACACTGGCCTGCCGCCAAAGCAAATATGTGTTTGACCGTACGCACCGCCTGGCCAGATCTTTCATTGGTGCACGCTTGGTTTTTCGAAAGGCCCCGGAACCCGATCGGAAGAAAGCTGTTTGGTTTCGGTCGCCGACAGAACTCTACGGGACTGTCGATGTTGCTGGCACCGCGACAATGATCATGGATGGCCTAGGTGTCTCTGACGAAAGCAAGAGTTCGAAACCCTACTCAGGTAAATGAAAGTGGAGGCAGTTCATAGGAAAGGGGTCATATTTTTTCGTGAGTTCTTCTGCAACCCTCTCAGCGAATGCTTTCGAAGGCCATTCCTTTTAGATGCAAAAGATTGGGGAACGGCTTCAAGGGAGAGAAGGCATGAGCGTGCTCTCGAAGTTCATCGTCATCTCGTGATCATCAGACTTAGCGATGGGTGTGCACCTATGCCAGTCGACAAAGCATAGAGAGTTCCGCTCGAAAGTCAATTCGATGACCTGAACTTCCGACCCGACTGGCCTCAAGCATAATCACTAACATATGGACTCCCCTTTCTTCCAGTTGTCAATATTTTCAGCCTTTGCTTTCTTGCTGCTGTTTCTCGTACTCCCACATCATTCTACTCATCATCATCATCATCATCATCATCATCATCATCATCATCATCATCATCATCATCATCATCATCATCATCATCATCATCATCATCATCATCATCATCATCATCATCATCATCATCATCATCATCATCATCATCATCATCATCATCATCATCATCACCACCACCATCATCATCATCATCATCATCATCATCATCATCATCATCATCATCATCATCATCATCGTCTCCCTCTTTTTCGTCGTCGCCGTTTCCTTCGCTTTTTCTTCCTCTCATTCTTCTAATTTCTCGTCTACATCTCCGCCACAGATAATGTTTTTGATCATTCTGGAACCCTGGTTAACCTCCGTTCCGATAACATTATGCAAACTGTGTCGGGGAGCCTACTAATTCCTGTCGACAACGCAAGCAGGCCGGATGCAGTTTTTCTTATCAAACAGTCCTCCGCCGGTCACTGAACGACATCAGCCTGTGTTTTTTTGTTTTACTTTCCCATTCCCAAATCAGCCCCGAATCGGGCCGCACGAATTAGCACAGGAGGAACCAGCATACCTGAAAATTCGTTTCCTACACGACACCTGTTTGTTTGTCTGGCACAGGCGAGGAGGACCACCACCATCGGCAAGAGGACACAGCGGTAACTTGCGCGTGAAGTTGTTTGCATGTGTGGCACCTACCTCCTCCCACCCCCAGCATTCACCGTGTTTCGATACCACAACAAAGAACAAGCCGATTGGCGGTGGACGCAAGTAAAGTGGCCCCAAAGGTTAGTCAGTGCGTCTACGCGGGCCACACACACGCTCTTCACTTGCTACACGACAAACGGTTTTCGACGGGGCGCCTAGGATCGCATTTACCGGGCGGTGTCGTAGAAATCACAGTGGGAAGGAGTAATCGTAGCCCTATTCTCTGGCCGAGCGTAAAACTTAATTATCTCATCAGCCGACAGCTTTCCGAACCAGGATTCTTGGTGTGTTGTAGTAGTTTCGATCGCAGAACATTCCCTATGATGGGAAATTGGCTGAATCGTCATAAGTTAGGATAACACAGTACTAAATCCACTCTTTTACCCTTTTAATGTACCAGCTGCCTGTCCGAGCCTGACGACTGGGATTGCAGTCAACGTTTTTGGGAACGTTAACGTATCAGGGTTGGAGTCTTGGCAAATAGAGCGGTCATCGGTGACAGTCTTTTTTTACTTCAGAAGGATGTTAAATGCTACGAGTCTGCTCACTGGCTTGCATCTTCTTTTACGGCTCACGTTTTGTGGGGAATTTCATACACTTCGACAGTGGCCAACTCTGATTAGCCCGTCGACTAATTGGCGGATTCCCATGGTCGCTTGTCAGACTAACCAAACGGATTCTGTATGTCACGAGGGTAGGAATCTCCTCCAGAGGAGCTTACGGCAAATTCCAGGAAGGCTGCCTATATCCTTGTCCCAGTTCTCACCCTAAGCTTAGCCCTAGCCGTTATCTTAATTCCAACGCCGCCCTACCCTGAATCCTAGTCCCAATCTCAGCCGCAACACCAATCTCTCTAGAATTCAGCTGACGACCGCTTGTATTACCAGGGGAGGTGCCTACATCCGTGTCCTAACGCCAATTCGCCACGCAAGTCCTCTCTAAGGTTGCCAATCAAACAGGCCACCTCAGGCCACTGCTGACGTATGCAGGATGGACGAAGTTATTTTTTTTATTACTCGCGCGCCTGACCCCCATAATTCTTTCGTATACGCATTAGGCAAATGGCTCGCTGACCGATGACCAGATGGGTCGGCCTGATTGCCGGCAGCTGACCGCCGTTGCGGTCACTCAGGCCTAATTGGTAGAACCTGGCGCCCAAACGCTGATTTCGCGGTAGGAAAAGAGGGATGCGATGTTGGCCACCGTTAAGTCGCAGTTGGCAGTCAGAAGCGAGAGTTTTCTGCCAAAGGGAGAGAGAGAGCGAGGGGGGACTAGACAGGGGTTAAATGCAGCCTCGTCGGCTGGTTGTCCGCCAATCTTAATTGACGATGACCGTGTTCATCAAATTATGAGGGCTTTGGTATTCAGTCTTTGGGTGTGTCTGATGAGCCTTTGCTTATCCCCAAACGTCCGTTAATATTGGAGGCGGCTGGAGGTTTGTGAGTTGTGCACGACCACATGCTTTACTGCGGTGTGAACGGATAGATGTCGTAGTTAACCCACATGGGCGTACTCAAGTCGGTTAAAAGATAGAAATTTATGAATGGTTTCAAACTTTAAGTGTAGGAGTAAGGGGAGAAGCAGTGTGGAGGCTGACAACTTCACTCGCGAGACCCTTAACCCCTCTGACAAATTTCTCGCCTCGGGTTAAAATGACGGAGAAAGTGTGCCGTTTTCACGTAATAAAAGGCCAGCCACAACTTGATGCCCATCTTGCAAAACCACAACGTGGTCCCCCACTTTCTCTCTCTCCGCAGGCTGGAGATGGTAGCTCCTGAATATTAGTAATGATTTTTGACTATTATTCTATATTCATAGATGTTTTGGCAGATTGTGAACAATTCATATTGACCCAACTGTGAAAGACTCGGCGCCTCGGTGGAATTCAAACCCAAGCAGTAAGGGGAAGGCTTTAGTACAGTCAACGCTCTAACCACTTGAGCTAAGGGGCATGAATTACGTGAGCCTAGTAGTCATCTGGTGGATTCTCAGTGAATTACTTAGGAAATCCTGCTTGGGCAGTCAACTTACTGTATCAGATTTGGTGGATTCCAGACGTTGCAGTAGGTTGGGCGGGTAACTTGACCCAAATGTGATTAAACACGCGTCGCCCGGCGGGGCCTCGTAGATCAAGTGATTGGAGCGTTGGCTGTACTAAAGCATTTTTATTACTGTCGTGGGTTCGAATCCCAACGGGGTGCCGAGTTTTCCACAGTTGGGTCAATATGAATGTATTATTCTATAGAAAATCGTGCACTGAAGTCGGAATAATCACGATTATGACTCCAACAACGGGCTGCACTGCAGATGCGTTGAACCAAAACAGAAGTCGAACCGTCTCACTGCATGCGCTTTCCGGGCAGCGCAGAGTCCATGAATACTGCCACGCGGGCATGCCGTCACACGTCTTAGACACTCGCTTTCACACGCGTTAGCCACTGCGTCCAATCTGGAGGCCACTTAGCCGACAGGTTCGAACAGTCAACTGGTGCATGAGAAGGAGAGTCAGGCTGAAATGGGGAATCCAGCCCCGTGGTACTTTAGTGCATTCCTCACTGGGCTCAGTCTGACGCGTTTGGATATATCACGAGGCGTCAGCGGAAGTGGCATGGAAGTTTACCAACTGGCGGAACAAATGAAAACCAAGACTGAAATCCAGGCTCGAACGGCACATTCTCAATGTCACCGCTACGGCATTCTCATTTATGTGTGATCCGAGTCGCCCTTATGAAAGCCTGGGCCGGGACCAGGTCGTGTGTGGCACGCGTAGGAGAGTCGTCTTGCTTTGTCGACCGCCGCGTCGACACCACCGCCCGTCGTTTTAACATTACCCTGCCATCGGAGCAAGGTGGGTCCAAGGAGAGTTAGTGTGGTAGATCCTATGAAAGTCCAGCCGACTATAAACTACTTTACGCTCAAGTCAACGGTACTACGACCACTTCGTAGAGAAGGCGGTTGACGCCGTCGGTAACAACATTCAAATTGTTGTTGATTGGCCACGGTAATTTTTCCGGCGAGTAGGAATTTCTGACAATCATAGTTCACACGCGCATTACTGTAGCGGAGTCTACTGATGTCTAATTTTGGTCTTCCCCAACGTGAAGCCATCACTTTTGATCGAGAGCCGATACTAAGGTGGCTACTTGATATTTATGACATGAACACTCTTTCACTCTACTGTAGGAGAATAGCAGGGAACTTGTGAGTATACAAAGTCGTCGGCTAACGAACACTTTTAGAGGGACCGAGCACATGTGGCGAAATCTCGGAAATGAGCTTCCAATCAGCAAAGCACATTTAGACGTGGCAGACTTGACATAAGTAATAATTGCCAATACAAGCAAAGATGCGAGTTACAGGAACGAGCTAATATGAAGTAGAAGCGATTGCCAGAACAACAGCTTTTTCGCATTTTCTTGATATTTTATACCCGAGGAAGGTGTATATTTGGGTTTCAAAAAAATTTCCAATTCCCGAATAATTTTGTGTCTGATGTGCCATTGAATTAGCGTTTGGCAATTTCAGTCTACAAGGTGCATGCTTTCCGCGTAAGGAAAATCATATATTCCTCTATACCTTTAAGAAGGTACCACATAGAGTCCCTAAAATTTCGCAATGGATCCGGACTATGTTATGCATTTCATTAGGAACATTTGTAAACGGACATTTGCGGTCCTGTATGCATGGACATCGCACGGTCTTAAAAATCTCATAATTAGAAACATTTTTAAAACCCAAATATACACTTTGTTCGGATATAAAATATCAAGACAATGTGATTTTCTACCAAAGGAGTAAATGAAAGCATATTTTTGTGCATGCTTTCTATAACATATATTTGAATTTACTAGACCATCGAAAATCAATAGCAAAAGTGCTTGCTACATAAGTAGTCATTTTGTACCGAGTGCGGTTTCTGCAGGAGGTCAAAAATGGGTGCATTCAAAAGCCGACATCCTGTTGAGTCCGAAATGTTATAGAGTTACGCTGCATGCTGGTAAGCATTACAACCCCACCTAATTAATTCTTCCTAATCGAAAACGCATTCGAGAATTTCGGCTAACATTTCATGAGATCGGTCACGCACTTTTATCAGTAAATTTCGATTGAGATGACTTTTCGTTCGGTTCTTCTGGCGAGTGTGAATTTCTGGTGACCATTTTGCACACGCGCTTTGCTGCAGCGGCGTTTAATGCCATGTAATTTTGTTTTTTTTCTAACGTGAGGTTGTCACGTTTGATCGAGAGCCGATACTAGGATGCTTTCTTGATATTTATGACATGAATATGTTTTCAGTGTACGCTAGGAGAAGAGCAGGGAATTTGTGACCGACGAACACCTTTAGGCGGACCGGACACATGTGGCAGAATTTCGAAATGAGCTTCCAATCAGCAAAGCACAGTTAGGCGTGGCAGTGTAGCGGCCGAAGACGTCAAGCGTAGCACACACCGGAGTAAGGGAACGCCGAGAAGGACTCTTGGCCGGGGTAGACCTGAACGGAGCTGTTAGCATTCCTTGATACACATCCATACATAGAAGAAGAAGAAGAAGAAGAAGAAGAAGAAGATGATGATGATGATGATGATGATGATGATGATGATGATGATGATGATGATGATGATGATGATGATGATGATGAAGGCATGTCGAATAAGAGATAAAGTGTAATAATACGAGGTTGCACGGGGAAACGTATAATAATCGTTAATAGTACAGGTAGGACGGTTACATCTGTAGAATGACCTGTCTGGGTGGAGAGACGATGCCAACATGCCAGCTAGTAAACCGGTGGGTAGCGCAGCGCTGGGGGCAACTGCAGGGAAGGGCCGAGGGAGTGCCGATGTAGCGAGGAGGCAAGCGGTTCGGACGATACGTTACGTTACGACGAGGGGGAAAAGGATCGGCAGAAGAGAGGGTGAGGGACACCGGTTATCTTCACCGACACGCGACTACGCCATCTCCACCCTAGGTCCTCGCGCGGAAAAGTGTCACCTCATTCAAACAACTCTGTCCAAGTCCAGGGGCGTTACAGCAGAATTGACATAAGTAATGATTGCTGATACAAACAAAGATGCGAGTTTCAGGAACTAGTTGATAAGAAGTAGAAGCGATCGCTGGAACAAGAGCTTTATTCGCCTGACGTTTCGGATTCTCTCTGTCACTGTCTCTAATGATGGGTTCCAGCGAGGATCCGAAACGTCAGGCGAATAAGGCTCTTGTTCCAGCGATCGCTTCTCCTTCTTATGGATGATAATTTCAGAGTTTTAATATCCTCAGAAATAAATGCGTTTGTCTGAATTAAATCATGAGAAATAAAGTGTTATAGGCCAAATCCGGAAGTTGGTTTGAATAGTTGGATCGAAATCCATAAACTACCAATAGGGGACAAGTAGTATGCACATATTTTGTGACTTACCATGCTGCTGTTGCAGTTGCTGTTAGCATTTTAGGAATATTATGCAATTGTCCGTTTGACGTTGATGGAGTTTGGCAGAAATACTCGTATCAACTTTCGGACTGAGATTACAGAACTTCATTTTGACGATTGTTCTCCAGGTTAATACATTACTTTATCGGAAGATTAGAAACTGGAGTATCTACCAGAAAAAGCACACGGGGAATGCAGGAAGACCCACTGATGAGCCGAATCCCTCCGAGCTGTGCCATGAAGCGATAGAATATCGACAAAACACGCGTGTCTGGGTTTTTGGCTAGTACCCGGGCTATCAGTATGGTAAATCATACATGGTGTGCGTAGATGGTAGCTCCTACTGTTCTTCAAATTGAGGGGTTGTGGAGTTCCATTTTATCTTCTCACCTCTTCTCCCTCCACACTGATGATCTAAGATGCCAGACGACTGTCTATTGATTATGTATACTGAGGATGTGGTTGGTAAACACCCTCTCAAAATTCGAACACATCTCCAATCTGTGAAGGATTGTCTTGACTATGTCTCAGTATGGTCACAGGAAAATGGTCTCCTGGTGAAAAATCAAAGATCAGTTCGGTGTATTTTCCGACTGCGACCCTCTCCTTGTTCTGGATCCTTTGACCTCCTTCCCAGTGAGGTATCTTCTTTCAGGTACTTTGGCGTTACTTTGTCATCAAATCTTTCATTTTCCCTCCATACTGAGTCATTTTTCACTAACGTTCATAAACTTCTTTATTAATTCGTCGTTTACGCACACCTCAACCCTTAATCCGGCGACTCCTAAATTCCTACATTCTTCCTCCTATTCTTAATTGCTCTCCTGTCATCTTTCCCGCTTTGCTCTGAAAAGATCTGCTAATTTTAAAACTAGTCACCGAATGCTCTCGTCTGCTGTCGGTGTTTCTTATCTTTTTTTGGTCGATATTATCATGTAACGACATTTCAAAGTGATCAAGCAATTTTCTGGTCGAATTCTGGATGACGCTGTCCATCCCCTGCATTGTGATATAATCTCTGCGAAGTCTTCCCACCCTATGCGCCGTGTTTTTCGACTTATCTCTTGTTGTACATCGGCATATGAACATTCGGCATTTCCATTCCTGGCATGCTATTTTAAGTGCGAAGAGACAGAAATACAGAAGCTAAGACTCGAACTGTCCCCACAATAGCCGTTCGTTTTTGTGCAAAACGTTTTGACTCTTGAGTACTTTATTACCTTATATGCTGTCCACAGTGGACGGAGCCGATTTTTGTTGAAAATTTTGAATTTATAATTTCAAAATAAAGCCAATCTCTCTCTGTTGGGCGGAGCTTCAACCGGGACACTTTGGTGGGCTCAACAACGGCTTATCTTCGTGTAAGGGGAACTTGGCTCTCACATCCAGGCCTCAACGGCGACCGTGAGGACTGTCCCAGCCCCGTAAGTATTGCTTTCCACGCTCACGGGGGTCCATTTAGTTTCAAGGTCAGGGGGGAAAGTGGGGCGGAGCTATCTGACCCAGCTGCAGGACGGTGCACCGACGTTCTCCCTTGCGTTTGGGCTTCAGCTTGGAACTTACGTCGAGGCGGGTAGTTATCAGCTTTCCTGTCTTCGCCGATAAGCCTCCTGAAGTTGGACGCGGGAATACGGACCTCCGCATCGCGGGTGATCTTGACCTAAATGTCGGGGCAGAGGTTAGTTAAGGATGTCGTTAGGGTTAAGGAGTCGTTAGGGTTGTGAGGGCTTGGGATGGGAGTTAGGTCTAGGCTTTTGCTATGATAACTAGAGGTGGGATTAGCATTAGAGCTAGGTTAGTTAGGGTAGGTTTGCTCCGTAATTGTTGCTTTTTATGCTCACGTGGGTTCATTTAATTTCAAGGTCAAGGGGGGAAAGTGGGGCTAAGCCATCCGACCTAGTTGCTGGACGGCACACCGACGTTCGCCTCTGCGCTTCGGCCTCATCTTCGGACCCGCGTTGTGATGAGTAAATGCAAGTCTCCCTGCCTTCGTCCGTAAGCCTTCCGAGGTTGGTCACGAGAATATGAAGCTCTCTCTCTCCTATTTCAAGTTCCTATTTCATATCCCTGTGTACAGGCCTTCCAACTATTAATCTTGCTGATAACCAACCAATGAATCTTTGCGTTCCACAAACCGAGCTTAAAATAGTATTTGGAAAGTTCTCCGTTTGGGAAAGGTGGGGGAGCAGGCTCGAAGATCGGTTTGCTTTGACATTTCGTGGACTGGCGGATGCTGCTTGAGAAGCAGGTCACTCTTGCTAAAAGTGAAGACATTATACTTGCTAAAAAGGTGCATTAGTAGCTTCTTCAGGTTCATTACTGATCGTTAGGACCTTGGAGAGCCCCATTTGCAACAAAATAAATATATTTATGAAATTTCGACTGCTGCATAGTCATGTGCTTAACAATGGGGACGAGTCTCGCGGGCAACATTTGTGATTTTTTGCGTGATTTGATTTACAAAGAAGAAAGGGTCCAATCTTATTTCGTAGCCCTACCTGCAGTAGACAAGCCCCAGCCTAACCCCTAACTCTAACCGCTAGCCTGTATTACCTAGGTCCTAACCCTAACAGGTGCCGCTACGAAATAGGATCTTGTCTATGAAAGTTTGTGTGACATCCACGGCCGTCGTGTTCCACTTGCATTTAAGTGTCTCGATGGCTGAAGGCGGAGGAGAGCATGTCGGCGGATTTGACAGAAGTCTGTACTCTCGCCATCCACGTGACAGTTCGGCAGCAGCAAGCGATGACGTTCGCTGAGCGCCCAACGCCTGGTGGGCGCATCACCGGTGACTTGAGCGGACTTGCGAAGCATCTTCCGCACCCTCCCCTTCCGCGTCCACTCTGGCCCGTTGTCAGGACAACCAGAGGCTGTCTCGGCTGACAAAACTAGACAGCTCGTGCACACGTGCCACACACGATTCGGTCCCCATAGCAGGCATTGCATTGCCATGAGGGTAGCTCAGATCCACTTAAATGAGAATAATTCATATTGACACAACTGTGAAAATCTCGGTGCCTCGGCGGGATTCGAACCCACGCAGTAAGGGAAGGCTTTGGTACAGCCAACGCTCTAACCACTTGAGCTACGAGGCCCCGCTGAACGACGCGAGTTTAATCACACTTTGGGTGAAGTTTACCCGCCCAACCTACTGCAACGTCTGGAATCCACCGAATCTGATACAGTAAGTTGACTGTCCAAGCAGGATTTCCTAAGTAATTCACGTAGAATCCACCAGATGATTATTAGGCTCACGTAACTCATTTATGTTTTGGCAGATTTTTAATAATTTATATTGACCCAATCGTGAAAAACCCGACACCTCGGTTAGAGCGTTGGCTGTACTAAAGCATTCCCCATACTGCATGGGTTCGAATCCCACCGAGGCACCGAGTTTTTCACAGTTGGATCAACATGAATTAATCAAAAATCAGCCAAAACATCTTTAAATGAGAATACGATAAAGACCACGCTCAGATGGAGCCACTGAGACTAACTCTCAGCCCCGAAGGACCCGTGTAAGGTCCTCGATTTATAGTCTGGAATTATATCAAAAGCCATATGAGAAACGCTGGACAAATCAGTAATTAATCAAACCGTTCGCGGTACCTTTGCAGAGCAGCAGGAAGCTACCGAAAGATGCGTGTGGCTTCTTAGTATGGTGCAAAAAGTGTATAAAGTAAACTTTGTCCTAAAAAATGTAAGAAACCATTAATGACTGGATTTTAGCCTAAGCACGGTGCTAATTTGACTGATGCCAGTAGCCGGGGGATACTAATTCATATATTTGGTGGATTGGCATGAGTTTATCTCACACCACCTACGCAAAGCAGATGCCCTGAGAACAACAACAAGGTGCCGTGAACAGATGGGCTTGGCGGTTTGTTTTGATCTGCGCGCAGTGCTTTTGTGCTGTTCGCAAACGTTTGTTATTTAAGGCTTCGTTTATTAAAGAAGAAGCATTTGCCTCAACATCTAGATTTTCTTATTGAGTATTGAATCAAGTAGAACCTGCAAACACTAATATTTTTCTCATTTAGATTAATGAGTACAGCAGACTTCGTCGCAATTTGAGTCGAAAAGTGTGGTCTTGAAATAGAACAGGCTTAGTGGTCGTTACCCTGCTCGTCTCTGCTGATGGCCGCTCTATTAGTCTAGAACTTCGAACGACAGGTAAAATGAATTTGCGCGTTTTGACCAACCACCGCCAAGATCTACGGACTGCCCACAGTT